TAGATGATTATTGACGCGATTCCCATCGGCTGCAGATCACCGGTGAAGCCTGTCTCTGTTCTTCGACAAAATTCAACAAGGGGAGAAAATCGGAGAGGCGACGCGATCCCCGCTGCACTTTCAACATCGCTGGAGGGAAGGCAAAAACTGTAACCACCGCGGCAGGTAGATCCCCAAAAAAAGTTTACGCCAACGAAAACAAAAATCTGGGGCGGCAGGCGATCCGGTCTTATTCGCGCTCGGAAGAAGGGCCGTTGCCCAGAACGTCGCCTATTATATCGCTCGACCATTCAAGGCCACGTGCGGTGTTCACGACGGATGTGTCGAGTCGAGTCTACGTTTTGGACTACCGGTCTGAGGTTGTGCGCGTGGATGTTGAACTTATGTCGCACCGTGTGCGTGGTCAAACGTGCTGATCGGAGTTTGTGGGGAGGTGTGTGGGGGGGTGTGGTGAACGCTCAGCAGCAGATTGAAATACCTTAGAGCATAAGTAGAAAAAGAAATTCTGCCAAAAGCCATTTGGATATTTATAACATCATTTGCCGGCCAGACGAAATTATCAACTAAAAAAATTAGCCCGTTGTTATATTTGGTCAAACATTTAATGAACTCGCCCCTAATGCGATGGCTGGAATGGCTTCTCTTTGGCGAGACGTGTGATGTTAGCTGGTGTTGACGATGATGTTGCTACTCGCAACTGCTTTTCCAGGTTTGCTCCGAGATTTATTAAATTTCGAGTCCCACCTGCGGTTGCCTTGGCAGGGCCATGATGATGATGGTGATGATGATGATGGTGATGATGGTGATGATGATGATGGTGATGATGGTGATGATGATGGTGGTGATGGTGATGATGATGGTGATGATGGTGATGATGATGGTGGTGATGGTGATGATGATGGTGATGATGATGGTGGTGATGGTGATGATGATGGTGGATGATGGTGATGATGATGGTGGTGATGGTGATGATGATGGTGGTGATGGTGATGATGGTGATGATGATGGTGGTGATGGTGATGGTGATGATGGTGGTGATGATGATGGTAATCATGGTGATGATGATGGTGATGATGATGGTGATGATGATGATAATGATGGTGATGATGATGATGGTGATGATGGTGGTGATGATGGTGGTGATGATGATGATGGTGATGATGATGGTGATGGTGATGATGATGATGATAATGATGGTGATGATGATGATGGTGATGATGATGGTGATGATGATGGTGGTGATGGTGATGATGGTGATGATGATGATGGTGATGATGATGATGGTGATGATGATGGTGATGATGGTGATGATGATGATTGTGATGATGATGGTGATAATGGTGATGATGATGGTGATGATGATTGTGATGATGATGGTGATGATGTTGATAATGATGGTGATGATGATAGTGATGATGGTGAATGATTTCGCGGGCCTCATACGGCCCACGGGCCAGACGTTACCCACCCCTGCCTTAGAGTAACAACAGAGAGCCCGAGTTTACGTCACCCCCTTCAACCTTCATGAACTCAGTGGCACGGTGATGGCTCACTGATGGCTCGTGCAACGGGGGGCCGGCAAAAACCACGTTGACAAGAGGCCAATTTTAGTTTTTGTCGAATCCGGCACGGACACATTTTTTATTTTTACGTGGAATATTTCAAGAGCCGCACGATGAGACACGTGGGTCCTTGACAAACGAGGTCACGGGGTCAGTCGCAGTTTTTGCGGACTCAACTGGGCGAGTGCATTTGAATCTTAATTTTGGAGCTTTCATGACTGCAGGAATAATTTTTGGTTCTTTCGGTTAAGTCACGTCTAAAGATAAAATAATAAATTAAATAATAGCATATTACGACGTTTCGATTGCAACACAAGCAATCATCATCAGGCATAAAAGAAATAGCAACAAAAATCTAACTAGAAAACTATAGACAGACATACAAGCAGACAGACATCACAAGGACACACAGAGAGAGGACACATATCGGCACAAAGAGAGAGGTCGTTTCTGTGACGGGGCCTTGTGTTCTCTCTCTATGTGTCCTTGTGATGTTTGTCTGCTTGTATGTCTGTCTATAGTTTTCTGGTTAGATTTTTGTTGCTATTTCTTTTATGCCTGATGATGATTGCTTGTGTTGCAATCGAAACGTCGTAATATGCTATTATTTAATTTATTATTTTATCTTTATACGTGACTTAACCGAAAAAACCAAAGAATGAGTGCATTGGAAGCCAGAGGGGACTTAGGGTGCCGTCCATAAATGACGTCACGCACCTGGGGGGGGGGGGGGGGGGTTCAGACATTTGTGACGATGTGTGACGATGGGGGGGGGGGGGGTTGAGAAATCTGACGTCACATCAAAATGTGCAACTTTAAATAAATATAGAATTGTTATAACAACACTAATTGTTATAACAACACTCATACAACATCAGAGTGCAGAGCCCCCCCCCTCGTCACACGGCGTCACAAAAAGTCAGACCCCCCCCCCTCAAATATGACGTCACAAAGCTCTGCCCCCCCCTCTCCAAAAACAATAAAACACGTTTCAAATCGCTTTAAACTATTGTCATTGTAGTGCGTATTTAATGTGGCGCTGCACTCTGATGTTGTAGGAATAAACATTTATTAAAAAGTCTATTTAATTAAGTAGAACGTGTTGTCTATATTTATTTAAAGTTGCGCATTTTGATGTGACGTCACATTTCTCAACCCCCCCCCCCCTCGTCACACATCGTCACAAATGTCTGACCCCCCCCCCTCCCCTAGGCGCGTGACGTCATTTATGAACGGCCCCTTATCCGTATTGATTTTTCAGTGTTCTTTCCCTCTAACAAGCAAGGGGTGTTCCCTTGGTTCCTCCTCGCACGTGCAAAAGCACCACGATCGGGGCAATTGGGACTCCAATAAATCGGCAGGATCAACAAATGCCGGCAATTATTTGCGAACATACGACAACGAGACTGCTGACAAAGACGTGCGGTGTTTAAATGAAAGGCTATATAAAATTTCGATTTAAAGCTTTCGTGACTGCAGGGATTCATCTTCTTGGTTCTTTCGGTAAAGTCACGTAGAAGGGAAGTAATAAAATCATAAAAATAAAAAATCATAAAATTTCGATTTAAAGCTTCTTTCGTGACTGCAGGGATTAATCTTCTTGGTTCTTTCGGTAAAGTCACGTAGAAGGGAAGTAATAAAATAATAAAAATTAAACATATAAAATAATTCTCACGACGTTTCGGCCACAACGCAAGCAGGCCAATTCTTCACCTGAGGACGGCTGCTTGCGTTGTGGCCGAAACGTCGTGAGAATTATTTTATTATGTTTTATTTTTTATTATTTTATTATTTCCCTTCTACGTGACTTTACCGAAAGAACCAAGAAGATAAAAACGCTACGTTGATTTTGTTGATGTTTTGACGCTCACCGTTTCCACGCATTGAAGGACACATTCAGATGCGTCACCCTTGCAAGGCAAAAGGTTAAAAGGTCAAAGTGTCGCCGCTTCGATCTTTCCACATCGTGTGACCGTATCACTCCATCTCCCGGTAAAAGTGCGACAGAATCGACTTCAAGATTCATCTTCTTGGTTCTTTCGGTAAAGTCACGTAGAATGGAAATAATAAAATAATAAAAAATTCAACATTATCAAATAATTCTCACGACGTTCCGGCCACAACGCAAGCAGCCGTCGTGAGAATTATTTTATTATGTTTATTTTTATTATTTTATTATGTTTATTTTTATTATTTTATTATGTTTATTTTTATTATTTTATTATGTTTATTTTTATTATTTTATTATGTTTATTTTTATTATTTTATTACTTCCCTTCTACGTGACTTTACCGAAAGAACCAAGAAGATGAATCCCTGCAGTCACGAAAGCTTCAAATCGAAATAGTATTATGTTTTATTTTTATTATTTTATTATGTTTTATTTTTATTATTTTATTATGTTTTATTTTTATTATTTTATTATGTTTATTTTTATTATTTGATTATTTCCCTCCTACGTGACTTTACCGAAAGAACCAAGAAGATGAATCCCTGCAGTCACGAAAACTTAAATCGAAATTTAAGATTCCTCTTCTTCTAACGTTTAAGATCTTGAACGGCTTGTCCCCTCCCCCCCTCCTCCCCAATCATCTCGACTGTCTGCTGAAGTTTTATATTCCACTGCGAAAGCATCGATCCTACCATTCTAGGCCCGGCCTGTGGATGCTGGATGTGGTTCCGATCAGTGAGGTCCACCGGATTTTGGGAGGCCCGGCTGGAAGGCCCCCACCCACCCCACCCCACCCCCCACCACACCACCCACCCATCCCACCCACCCACCCCCACCACACCACCCCACCACACCACCCACCCCACCCACCCCCCACCACACCACCCACCCCACCCACCCCACCACACCATACCCCACCACACCCACCCCACCATCCCACCCCACCCCCCACCCCACCCATCCCACTCACCCCACCCACTCCACCCCCCACCCCCCACCCCACCCCACCCCACCCACCCCCACCACACCACCCACCATACCCCACCCACCCCACCCCACCTCCCACCACACCACCCACCCCCCACCCCACCCACCCCACCACACCACCCACCATACCCCACCCACCCCACCCCCACCACACCACCCACCCCCCACCCCACCCACCCCACTCACCCACCGACCTTACCCACCCCACCCACACCACCCACCCACCCCACCTCCCACCACACCACTCACCCCACCAACCCCACCACACCCACCCACCCCACCACATCCACCCACCCCACCACCCACCCCACCACCCACCCCACCGACCCCACCCACCCCCCACCCCACCCCACCCCACCACACCCACCCCACCCCACCACACCCACCCACCCCACCCACCCCACCACCCCCCACCACCCCACCTCCCACCCCACCCCACCCCACCCACCCCCCACCACCCCCACCACACCACCCACCCCCACCCACCCCCCCAAACTTACGGGTGGTGCAGGCTTCTTGGGCTTCCCGGCCCTGGGAGGCGTTGGCTTCCAGCCAGCAGGCAGCGGCTCGCTCCCACTGAGCACGGCGGCTCCTGGCGCACGGACAAAGACAAAGATCCCCCGGGTAGCCTTGGTTTAGCGACCGACTGTTTGGGGCAAGTGCACAGGCACGCACGCACGCATCTGCATACGCGCGCGCGGGTACACATGCACACGTATGCGGATCCGCGAACACACACGCACACGCACGCGTATGCAGATGCGTGCACACGCGCGTTCACACATGCACACGCATGCGGACCCGCGAGCACACACGCACGCACGCGTATGCAGTTGCGTGCGCACGCGCGTACACATGCACACGCATGCGGACCCGCGAGCACACACGCACGCACACGTATGCAGTTGCGTGCGCACGCGCGTTCACACATGCACACGCATGTGGATCCGCGCGCGCGCACGCACGCACGCGTATGCAGTTGCGTGCACACGCGCGTACACACATGCACACGCATGTGGATCCGCGCGCGCACACACACACACGCGTGTGCATTCCCTGACCGAGCCCCGCGTTGTGCGTGTCGAATTGTGACAAATAGTTTGCGCAGTGCAGCAGCAGGAACAACAACAACATCTTAATTGGAGGCATTCTGCACTGACCTTCCTCCACTCTCAACCACGATCCCGAATCCCTATGACCTTTTCCCTCGAGGAAAAGACCAATGGAGGGATGACTATCCCACTCCTGGGGTTTTCTGTATGCGCGTTGAACGTCTCCCGCCTCCGTTACGTAGCCGGACGTGCTAATCGGAGGAGCGGTGGTGAAGGAAAACGAACTAAACACGCAAAAAAGCAGCTCTGAAGAAATGAGATTTTAATCTATACGACGATTTGAAAGTGCATCGCTCCACTGGCTTCCCAATATCGAGAAGGAAGAGGCGTTCCAGACGGCCTAAGAGAAGCGCATCTGATCGAAGGTGCGGTGGAAGGACAAGAAACTAACGCACAAATAGACAGTTCTGAAGAAATGAGATTTCAATCTAGATGATGATTTAAAAGTGCATGGCTCCAGTGGAGCAAGAGCGTTCCAGACGGCCTAAGAAGCGCATCTGATCGAAGGTGATGTGGAAGGACAAGAAACTAACGCACAAATAGGCAGCTCTGAAGAAATGAGATTTCAATCTCGACGACGATTTTAAAGTGCATCTCTCCAGTGCAGGAAGAACGTTCCAGACGGCCTCGGAAGGGCATCTCAAAAGCGCCACCTTTGTTCGATGGTCAGCTGCTTGCGTTTAGCTTGTTGTCCTTCCCACCGCACGCACCTCCGATGACCACGGTCGGCTAGGTACGGTGCGAAAGGAGTTCAAAGCGCGTACAATCCATCGCAAGCCACGCGATGCAACAATCCGTCGTGCTCGCTCTGTTCGCCCATGAGCCGTCATTCCTTCCGGCAGCGCCGTTTCTTTCCCGAGCCCACTGACTTTTCTTGACAGTCAAAATTACGTCTCTCTGTTCTCACATACACGCGTTCTTCATTTCTGTCTGAAGAATGTACATCGGTGCATTGCAGACATACACACGTACACGTCAGAATAGGTGTTACGCTGTCTAGCAATAAAACAGTTGTGTTGTGATGTTCAAACACCAAACAGAAACCTTTTTCAAGGAATCCTGTCTGCATTAACCGCATATACTTGTGGTGAGCATGCGAACAAAAAACATGCGCTGGTAATGCATGATGATGCATTGTATTTTTCGATTTAAAGCTTTCGTGACTGCAGGGATTCATCTTCATGGTTCTTTCGGTAAAGTCACGTAGAAGGGATTAATAAAATAAATAAAATAAAACATAATAAAATAAAATAATTCTCACGACGTTTCGGCTACAACGCAAGCAGCCGTCTTCAGGTGAAGAATGAGACACTGTCAAGCTTGCGTTGGAGCCGAAACGTCGTGAGAATAATTTCATTTTTTTATGTTTTATTTTTATTATTTTTTTACTACCCTTCTTCGCGACTTTACCGAAAGAACCAAGAAGATTATGCATTGTCTTTGAAACTGAGTGGTCCACACCAGAGACAGCTTTCTTTAGAGCAGGGACCGGTTTCGTGGAAGACAATTTTTTCATCAATTGGGTCTTTCCCCCTTTCCAAAGAAGCTCTCCAGCGACGTTTGTTTTTTTACTCATTTTTCCCAGGGTCAGCTTGTGGGCTAACCAAAACTGCGACTGAGACAAGTGCGCAGTGCGGGGAAGAGGAAGTGGTAAATAAAATAATGGGGGCGGGCCACGCAAGGACTTACCGCTCTCACCTCGTGCAGTGCGGCCCGGTTGCTAACAGGCCACGGACCGGTACTGGTCCGGGGCCCGGGGGTTGAGGACCCCTGATCTAGAGCCTAGTCTCAAACAAATGTGAGATCAGAGGCGCACTTGGGCGGGCACCGAAATGGGTCAGCCTGGCTCGTCCGAGTCGGCATCGGTGGTGCTTGTGTTGACACTGGACGAGGAATCCGATGAGCTGTGAAGCTCTTTTTTTAGAGGTGTTCAGTAAGAGGGGCACGGGCTCACGTGGTTACAACAAATACTACAAAAGTACGATAGGGGTGCGAAATATAGGCAAGGTAAACACATCACTTTAAAAAATGTGATTGTGGTCAGAATGCAAACAAAAACCTACTCTGATAATTTATGCATTGTCCTTGAAACTGATTGGTCCACACCTGAGACAGCTTTCTTTAGACCAGAGGACGCCAAAAGGCGAACAGCACAAGGACAATGCCACTACCAGGACTTCGAGAGCTCGTGGTGAGCAGCTACTTCTTATATTTTGATACCGGCAAGGGAGGTCCCATGATGATACAGACATACATCCCTGCACCACGAACACCACGGCCGGCTACATATGGTGCGAAAGAAGTGCAACATACGCACGTACACGCAAAGACGAAGGTCCCCCGTAAAGCCTTAACAGATTGTTGGGGCAAGTGCTGATAGCGAGCATCTATGAAGGCCCGAACGGCACACGAGGGGGTGGGTGGCCAGCACCAGGCCCGGCCGCCTTTGTCTCCCTCGTGACAATCTTTTAACATAACCGCACCAGGAACCTCATTTGAGGCCGAGTCGACCTAGGGGGAGGTCCAGGACCGGCGTCGGTGGCTGTAAGCGGGAATCGAACTCGGGCCGGCGGGTTCGTAGCGCAGTGCCGCTAACCGCAGTGCCACCGTTCCAAATACAGGCTGCGACACCCACACACACACACACGGTCTACACCAGGGGTGGGAAATCTTTCATCGGCCAAGGGCCATTTGGATATTTATACCATCATTCGCGGGCCATAAAAAATCATCAACTTAAAAATTAGCCCGTTATATTTAGTCAAACATTTAATTAACTCGCCCCTAATACGATAGCTGGAACTGCTTGTCTTTGGCGAGGCGTGTGTGATGTTAGCTGGTGTTGATGATGTTGCTGCTACTCGCAACTGCTTTTCCAGGTTTGCTCCTAGATTTGTTGAATTTCGAGTTCCTGCCTGCGGTTGTCTTGGCAGGGCCAGACCAAATGATTCTAGATTTGAAGCTTTCGTGACTGCAAGGATTCATATTCTTAGGTTTTTTCGGTAAAGTCACGTAGGTAAAACATTAAAATTAATAAAAGTAAAATAAAATAAAAAATAAAAATCACGACGTTTCGGAGGCAACACAACCACCTGAAGACGGAAGCTTGTGTTGCCTCCGAAACGTCGTGATTTTTATTTTTCATTTTATTTTACTTTTATTAATTTGAATGTTTTACCTACGTGACTTTACCGAAAAAACCTAAGAATACACACCAAATGATTTTGCGGGCCTAGTACGGCCAGACGTTCCCCACCCCTGGTCTACACGGTGGTCCAGATGTCTCTCATTCATATTGTATTTAAAATAGAAATGATTACGGTAAACATGCGAAAGGAGGAAATATAAATTGGGGTCAATTTAATTTCTGGGGGGGGGGGTCACAAGACATCTGGACCAACCTGCACGGCACGTGCAGCGTTTGGCATCCACGGCGTACTATCCAAACGCGTGCGTCACCACGCGCCGAATGCAGGCAGCAGTCACAAGAGAGAGCCGTGGCAGAGACTTAAGGAGTGTTGCAAGCGCTCAACGGCACTCCGAGGACTCGTAATGTCATTACCACCCACGGCATGCATCACAGGCCAACACAAAACTAATTAATGGCATCCCCCAAAGACTCATGTAGAACGCCTGTTGGTGAGCACCTATTAAGAGCGGCACAGCGGTGATGGTGGTGGTGGCAGGGGACGGGGGGTGTTGCCAACACGAGGGATGATGATGATGATCGCACGCTGCAATGCATTTCTCAATTAAGGCCAAGTTTCCCAGGGAAAGCCCCAAGGTTTGGATAGCAGTGAAGGTTCAGATGCCAGCTTCTAATAATCATGTCAATGGATCGAATCATTCATGGGTATCATTGATCAGAGCACAGAATGCCAATTACACATGTGTGTACATGTGCGAGTTCAGTTCCAGGTTGGGCGGTTGACCCTACTCATCATGTCTCAGGGGGTCGATAAAACGAGTACCACTTTGTGGGGGGGAAGATCAAGAGTGGTTGAATTAAAGATCAACTGCTTGCGAGATTGACCCAAATCATCATGTCTCGGGGGTCGATAAAACGAGTACCACTTTGTGCGGGGAAGACCAACAGTGGTTGCCTTACGGATCAACTGCTTGGGAGGTTGACCCAACTCATCATGTCTCGGGGGTCGATAAAACGAGTACCACTTTGTGCGGGGAAGATCAACAGTGGTTGCCTTACGGATCAACTGCTTGGGAGGTTAACCCAAGTCATCATGCCTCAGGGGGTCGATAAAACGAGTACCACTTTGTGCGGGGGAAGATCAACAATGGTTGCCTTACGGATCAACTGCTTGCGAGGTTGACCCAACTCATCATGTCTCGGGGGTCGATAAAACGAGTACCACTTTGTGCGGGGGAAGATCAACAATGGTTGCCTTACGGATCAACTTCTTGGGAGGTTGACCCAACTCATCATGCCTCGGGGGGTCGATAAAACGAGTACCACTTTGTGCGGGGGAAGATCAAGAGTGGTTGCCTTACGGATCAACTGCTTGCGAGGTTGACCCAAACTCATCATGCCTCAGGGGGTCGATAAAACGAGTACCACTTTGTGCGGGGGAAGATCAACAATGGTTGCCTTACGGATCAACTTCTTGGGAGGTTGACCCAACTCATCATGCCTCGGGGGGTCGATAAAACGAGTACCACTTTGTGCGGGGGAAGATCAAGAGTGGTTGCCTTACGGATCAACTGCTTGCGAGGTTGACCCAAACTCATCATGTCTCGGGGGTCGATAAAACGAGTACTACTTTGTGCAGGGAAGATCAACAGTGATTTCCTTACAGATGAACTGCTTGCGAGGTTAACCCAACTCATCATGCCTCGGGGGTCGATAAAACGAGTACCACTTTGTGCCGGGAAGATTATCAACTCAGTTGATCCGTAAGACACGCACGGCACGCCGGCGTTCCCCTGTAAGACACGCACCGACGTTCCCAGACCGCGTGGCACCGTAGCGGCGCGACTCACCGGAGGGCAGCAGCACGTCCAGCTTGTGAATGACGCCGTTGGTGGTCATCTTGTCGGCGTCGAGGATCTTCTGCCCGTCGACGAAGACCTCTCCGTTTTTCTGCCAAGACAAGGCCGACGTCAATCAACGACCCTCGGGGGCGCGCTAAGGGCGGGCGGTGGTGCTTGTGTTGGCACTGGAGGAGGAATCCGATGAGCTGTGAAGCTCTTTTTATAGAGGTGTTCAGTAGAGGGGCACGGGCTCACGAGGTTACAACAAATAATACAAAAAACGATAGGAGTGCGAAATTTAGGCAAGGTAAACACATCAGATTTGAAGCTTTCGTGACTGCAAGGATTCATATTCTTAGGTTTTGTCGGTAAAGTCACGTAGGTAAAAAATAAAAATTAATAAAAGTAAAATAAAAATACTTTTATTAATTTTTTAAAGTCACGTAGGTAAAAAATTAAAATTAATTTAAAGTAAAATTAAAAATACTTTACCGAAAAAAACAAAGAATATGTAAACACATCACTTAAAAAAATAGGATTGTGGTCAGAATGCAAACAAAAAACCTACTCTGGTAATATATGCATTGCCCTTGAAACTGATTGGTCCACACCTGAGACAGCTTTCTTTTGAGCCTCATCTCAAACGGTGTTAGACCAGAAGACGCCAAAAGACGAACAGCACAAATACAATTTTGTTGCCAGAAAAAAGGGGAAAAACCTATTATCATATTTTGGTGCTGGCAAAGAAGGTCCCATGATGTAGATGCTCACCCCGAGCTCTCATTACTCTGATAGTGCATTGTCTTTGGGCATTCTGTCTAGAACTAGCTTAGCTCTTATCTCAGAGAAAATCAGACTTATACGCATCGAACTAGATCCGTTAGACAAGACACTCTACAAATCACACTCATCTTTGACGGCAACAATGTCCACATCGGATTGGGAACATGTAGACAATATGACTGCCTCTTCACCTGCCACTACGTCGACCTAATGTAAGGACAAATGGATTTCCAAATGTAACCTCCTCTACAACAAAAGACCGGACCCACACACCAAAAAGCTAGATGTTAACAAAGTGGTAATTAATCGCAGTAACAGTTCTATTTCCGATGGTCTGAAATCCGTTTTAGCTAAAGGGCTAAACTTTGCAGTCACACCTAGACACATACCAGTTAATTCATAATCAACCTTTTTGGGTTTAGATCGCAATATTTATAAATGTGTCGTAACTCTCCACCACCCGACACGGCCAATCAGTAAAAAGTGTCACGTTGACAAAAGACAAATAGTTCACTGCTTTAGCCCACCGGTGTGTTGAAGCGTGAAACCACAACATTTACAATTTTTTTTGTGTGGTTTCACGCTTCAACACACCGGTGAGCTAAAGCAGTGAACTATTTGTCTTTTGTCAACGTGACACTTTTTACTGATTGGCCGTGTCGGGTGGTGGAGGGTTACGACACATTTATAAATAACGCGATCTAAACCCAAAAACGTTGATTATGAATAATATTGGTCGCGAAAGCCTGCTACGTGTTAAACTGACATACCAGTTAATGATAGCATTGCCCAAGCAGACGTTGCTCTCAAGGGCCTGAGTCACATCGCTGCAGACGTAGGAACATCTGAAATCGCTGCAACCCTCAAAAACGCTAAGGTGCCAGCTAGTAACCTCAGCAAAGATGAGCGTTTTGAATGATCTCCATTAAAAAAGAGGGATGACATTGTCATCCTCTCAGCCGACAAGGGCAATGCCACTGTCATCATGGATAAAATAGAATATAACAACAAAATTCAAGAACTACTCAACGATGGCAGCTATACAAAAATAAAATGAGACCCCACCAACAGCTTCGTCAAACAAACCCACAAAAGAATTTCTGATTCAACCGCATTAATTGATCAAACCAAACAGTTCTTGTTGAAACTTTCTGCTGCCAGGCCACCAAGATTATATGGCTTGCCAAAGATACATAAAGAAGATACACCCCTTCATCCCATCGTCTCTACTATCAATTCCCCCACCTACAAACTGGCTCGTTTTTTGTCTGAAATCCTTGCAGCCTTTCACTGGATAAACCACCTCTGCGGTACTAAACTCTACTGACCTGGTATCGATAATCAAGGGTATTTCCCTGTCCCACAGACGACCTGCTTGTCAGTTTTGATGTGGTTTCCTTATTCACCAAACTTCCTGTACCTGACACCATCGCAATCATTGAAGACTTGGTTCATCAAGGACTGAATGCTGGGGTACCCCCCCTGGTGAGACACTGCTTAACCAATACATACTTCACCTGGAATGGAACTTTCTACAAACAAACTGAGGGCACCCCAATAGGCTCCCCCTATCTCCGGTTGTAGCCAACGTTTTCATGGAGGAATTTGAGACTGACGCCATCCAGACTGCCACTCTACGCCCAACCTTATGGAAGAGGTACGTGGATGACACTTTTGTCATCTGGCCACATGACCGGCCTGCTCTAGACCAATTCCTCGACCACATCAATTCCATACACGCAGCCATCAGATTTACCATGGAAGTCGAAAAAGATAGCAAGCTACCTTTTTTGGATGTCCTAATAAAACAGATACCTGATGGTTCAATGAGCCACTCTGTATACATGAAAGCTACCCATACAGATGCTTACCTACAACCGAATTCCCACCACCATCCATCCCAGAAGAATTCCCTAATCAAGACTCTACACCATAGAGCCCAATGCATCTCCGACCAGGAACACATTGCCAGTGAACTCAAGCACGTACACCAAGCTCTCAAGGCTAATGGTTAACTCCGACTACACAATCCGCAAAGCCATCACTCCAACCATGAAGAAGGACCCTCTTGAGGAGCCATTCAAAACCATCACCTTACCCTACATTGCTGGGGTCACAAAAAAGATCTCCAAAATCTTGAATAAACACAAGATCCAGGTCCGATTCAACACGGTACATAAAATCCGTGATCTGGTCCCATCTGTAAAATATGTTATTCCAGACATACAGTACCCTGGCGTCTACAAACTAAGTTGCCTCTGTGGTAGCAGTTACATTGGAGAAACCAAACGACATGTCTCGGACCGCATCCGTGAACACAAAGCAGACCTAAAACACGGTAGGACCAACACCTCAGCCATGGCAGACAACTGTTATAATTCAGTGGGCTCACATGACATTGACTTCTTCAAGACAGAGGTTCTCTGCAAGCCATCTGGCTACCATGAGAGATTAGTTCATGAGGCTATCCACATATACGAACATAGAGACAGTTTCAACCGAGAAGATGGATTCTGGCTTAGCAATCATTGGAAGGATTTGATAAACCATTTCGGGTCTTAATTGCACTTATTGTGACTTTCAGACCGCATTCCATTCTCTTTCTCTCCCCCCTCCTCCGTTCTGAGCATAGATGGACCCGTCCGACTGAACAACCGCCAGTTGCTGTCCGTGGTGCTGACGTTAAGAAAAAAACGCCACTTTTTTTCTTTCAAAATTTCTTGCCGTGGTTTTCACACCTGATGATGATTGCTTGTGTTGCAAACGAAACGTCGTGATAATTTTATTGTTTTATTTTTATTATTTTTTTATTTTTATTATTTCCCTTCTACGTGACTTTACCGAAAGAACCAAGAATATGAATCCCTGCAGTCACGAAAGCTTTAAATCAAAATTGACACACTATACTGGTAACTAATTGTTTACGTGACAAACCTCACTGGCTGTGTCAGGGGCTGTGGAGGTTTTACGACGCATTTATAACTTACGCGATCTAAGCCAAAAACCTTGATTGTGGACAGAAAAACTACTCTTTGGTTCTTTCGGTAAAGTCACGTAATAAAACAGATCACGACGTTTCGGGCGCAACACAAGCGTCCATCATCAGGTGGGACAACCACAGCAAGAAACGATTGCTGAACTGAGCGAGAGAGCTGCCGTGGCACGAGGTTATATAGGTAAGAGAAGGGGAGGAGCAAGAGGGAAGAGAAAGAGAAACCACGTGACTTTACCGAAAGAACCAAAGAATATGGATTCCCGCAGTCACGAAAGCTTCAAATAAAGACGAAAAAGTCGTTGCAGGTTTTTACCCTTTTAAACTGGTACAAAACTGACACCTTTATTCAAGGCATCATGTTTGCAATAACCACAACACAAGTAGTCAAACAAGCAAACAAAAAGAAGCAACTCTGATAATGATAATAATTTGCACTGTTATCAGAGTTGCTTTTTTGTTGTTGGCTTTTTTGACTATTTGTGTTGTGGTTATTGCAAACATGATGCCTTGAATAAAGGTGTCAGTTTTGTACCAGTTTAAAAGGGTAAAAACCTACTACTATATTTTGCCACTGGTAAAAGAGATGTCATAGTGAAAAAAAGTAGTTCTGAAGAAATGCGGTTTTCAATCGAGATTTCGGGGGGATGCTGCAAGCCAAGTCTCGATACGAATTTTCATTTGGTAATCGGGACTTGGTATTCGCGACTTGGTAATCGGGACGTGTACACGTGCAGGAATTGAACCTGGGTGCCTGGGATACACACACAGGGAGAGAGCGAGGAGCTCCAACCACATAGCAAACGCCCCGGACGCACTCCCACCCCTTTATAGACTTCATAAATTAGACAATGGTAGATTAACCGCTTATTGATTAATCCATCTCTGGCGTCTCCCACGACGGGGCGGGGGGGGGGGGGCTCCGTCACGCGTGACGCCTTCCCCCTTTGCAGCTGCAGGGCTCTGACGGTGGGCTGAGGTGGTTCCCGAACTGAGCTACCGCCTCCCTCCATCCCTCACTCCCTCCATCCTCCATGCCTCCCTCCCTCCATCCCTCATCCTCCATCCCTCCCTCCATCCCTCCCTCCATCCCTCACTCCCTCCATCCTCCATGCCTCCCTCCCTCCATCCCTCATCCTCCATCCCTCCCTCCCTCCATCCCTCCCTCCATCCCTCACTCCCTCCATCCTCCATGCCTCCCTCCCTCCATCCCTCATTCTCCATCCCTCCCTCCATCATCCATCTCTCCATCCTTCCCTTCCTCCTCCATCCCTCCCTCCCTTCATCCCTCCCTCCATCCTTCCCTCCCTCCCCCATCCCTCCATCCCTCCCTCCATCCTCCATGCCTCCCTCCCTCCATCCCTAATCCTCCATCCCTCCCTCCATCATCCATCTCTCCATCCCTCCCTCCATCCTCCATCCCTCCCTCCATCCTCCATCCCTCCCTCCCTCCCTCCCTCCCCCCTCCCTCCATCCCTCCCTCCATCCCTAATCCTCCATCCCTCCCTGCCTCCATCCCTCCCTCCATCCCTCATTCTCCATCCCTCCCTCCATCATCCATCTCTCCATCCATCCCTTCCTCCTCCATCCCTCCATCCCTCATCCTCCCTCCCTTCATCCCTCCCTCCATCCTTCCCTCCCTCCCTCCCTCCCCCCATCCCTCCATCCCTCCCTCCCTCCTCCATCCCTCCCTCCATCCCTCCATCCCTCATCCTCCCTCCCTTCCTCCCTCCACCCCACCGCCCCCCGCCCCCCTCACCTGGTTGATGTCGAGCTTGAGTCCCAGCAGGGACTTCTGCTGGTTGTTGACGCCGCGCACGACGCCGCCGCTCACCAGAACCTTGTCGAGGACGTGCGCGTCCACAAAGGCCTCCGCGTCCGTCGGCGACGCTGCGAAGAGACGAGGAATCGCTCGTGTGAAGCCCTCCCAGCAGACTATTGGGGGGCGAGTGGTGGAACATTTGCCGGGGGTGGTGTGGGTGGCCAGCACCACGCCCGGCCGCCTTTCTCTCCCCGGTGGCGAGGTTTACTGGACCATCGCACCGGGGAACTCGTTTGATGATGACGAGTCGACCTAGGGAAGGCCCAGGACGGGTTCGGATAATAATCGTCACTGGCGTAGGCCTTTAGCAGGAATCAAAGGTTGTGTCGCCGGGTTCGTAGAGCAGCGCGCTAGCCTCTTCACTAATCACAAGACGAATACAAAGATTCATACTGTTATTTTTTTATTTTTTTTTATTAATTTTAATTTCATTTTTTTTTATCTATGTGACTTTACCGAAAAAACTAAAAGTATGAATGCTTGAGAGCAACGAAAGCTTCAAATCTAGAATGAATACAAAGATCCCCCGTGTAGCCTGTAATAGACTGCTGGGGCAAGTACTGATAGCGAGTAGCACCTATGAAGGCCGGCACGGCACACGAGGGGGTGGGTGTCCAACACCACGCCCGGCCGCCTTTGGCAATGTTTACGCACCGCACCAGGTACTCATTTAAGGCTGAGTCGACCTAGGGAGGGATCGGTTCAGATAATCGTCACCCGTGTTGGCCGTGAGCGCGAATCGAACTCGGGTCGTTGGGTTTCGTAGCGCAGCACGCTGACCGCAACGCTACACAAAGACGCACCACAAAACACACACGCACCCTTGTGACGCAGACACGCACGTGTCCATACGTCTGGGCACAAACACACACACACACGTCGACAGCTGTGCAGCGTTGAGCGGTGCGAGCCTCACGGAAACGGTGGAGATGTGTCCGGCGTACTTTGCAAGCTCATATTCGTAGGTTTTTTCGGTAAAGTCACGTAGGTAAAAAAATAAAAATTAATAAAAGTAAAATAAAAATAAAATAAAAATCACGACGTTTCGGAGGCAACACAAGCTTCCGGAAGCTTGTGATTTTTATTTATTTTTATTTAACTTTTATTAAATTTTGATTTAAAGCTTTCGTGACTGCAGGGATTCATCTTCTTGGTTCTTTCGGTAAAGTCACGTAGAAGGGAAGTAATAAAATAATAAAAATAAAACACAATAAGGACGGCTGCTTGAGTTGTGGCCGAAACGTCGTGAGAATTATTTTATTGTGTTTTATTTTTATTATTTTATTACTTCCCTTCTACGTGACTTTACCGAAAGAACCAAGAAGATTACTTTTATTAATTTAATTTTTTTACCTATGTGACTTTACCGAAAAAACCTCAGAATATGACGAGGGAGTGCCCGTGAGATCGGTGTGTGTGCTTGTGTTGCTTGATACGGATTCCCTCCCGCTGTGGAATCGAGGCCAGGTCTCCCTTGAGAGAGACCAACGGACCCCAAATGTGGACCTCCGGTTTCACATCTCGTCGCCGTGGGGCGCCACTTTGGCGAGATGTTCGTTCCCTAGCCTGGTGTGCAGGAGTTCGTGGGTTCGATCCCGATCCCGATCCTGACGATGCCTACTGCTGAACATTTTGAGTTTGCGTGTCTCTCTCCCTTTTTTTAAATCCTTTATATTGAGTTCACTTGCTTGCTTGCGTGCTTGCTTGCTTACGACCGTGCAAACCTTTCGGTCATTTTTTAACCCACTTTCCGTGATCCAATCGAGCTGACATTTTGCACACAGACTCGTTGTGCGAGACAATTAATGTTCGTGAAAAAAAAATTCAAAATTTTACACTGTTTAGGGAAAACAAATTAAATATTTAATTACCAATTGTTTAATACTGCAGACAATCATCTGACCCATAGGTGGCAGCCATCTCAAGCCAAAGGACGAGAGGACTCTAGCCGCCCCGCATATAAAGGATTTAGAGTGAAAAACTTTGTTTTAACGGGTTATACTTATTTAAAATCCTTTATATTAAGTTCGCTTGCTTGCTTAGGACCGTGCAAATCTTTCGGTCGTTTTTTAACCCACTTCCCGTGATCCGATCGAGCTGACATTTTCCACACATACTCGTTGTGCGTGACAATTGATTTTCGTGAAACAATTTTTCCAAAATGTTACACTTTTTAGGACAAAAAAATAATATTTAATTACCAATTGCTTAATGGTGCAATGCAATTATCTGACCCATAGGTGGCAGCCATCTCAAGCCAGAGGACGAGAGGACTCTAGCCGCCACGCATATAAAGGATTTATAGTGAAAAACTTTGTTTTTACGGGTTATACTTATTCATGGTCCACGTAGATTTTTACTCCGGGTCCTCCAGTTTTTCCCTCCGCATTTAATACAACATCACGCGTTTAGAGTATTTGGCTGCCGCTATACATTTCCACGTGACAAGCCACTTCGTTGAGCTGTCATTTGTTGAAAGCCAGGTCTGCGAGCCCTCAATTATGTTAATGCTCTCCCGACTCCCTGGAGGAACTCAAATACCCAGATTATTAGGCGCCCGTGGCAAAAAAAAACAAAGTCAAAAGTTAAAATAAGAACAGCAGCACAATGAACCTAGGAGGCTTGGTTTATTTTGGTTAAATCCTCATCAGGTCTCCCGTGCGCCATATATCATCAACTTATTTTGGCAAACAAAAGAGCGCACTTAAAAATCAGGCCAAAACGCAGGCAATTCCAATTGGCAGATGAGGATTTATTCGGAAAGTAATAAAGGCTGAGATGGGATTAATCCTGGCAACGTCAACTGTTCCGAATGTCCTCTGGGTATCGAATTACCTAGCGCTTAAGTCCAGCTGCTGTGGAAAAAAAAAGCATTGCTGAAGTAATGGGCGCTATTAGAGACTTCAGCACCGAATTAAATGAAGATTTAAATTACGCATCGAGCAAAAGGCAAAACCCAAGAACAAATCGCGGCGCGTGGAACTATTTGCCGCTCGCGACGCGGCGGAACGAGGACGGAGAACGATTCAGCGGTTGCGTCCCAACGTCGGTGTGACCTTTCGCCGTGGCGTTCGGCACTCTTTCGATATTGCCGATGGTTGCATCCACGGAGACGACCAAACTCGTTGACCAAACGGGAGGCGGGCGGGGGGGGGGGGGGAAGAGGTAGGCGCGAATCAACTCGACAGGCCCGTCTCGAGGTGGGATCGTCAACGGGATCCTTCCCTGGAAGAGGGGGGCGAACTCGCTCCGGAGGAATGTACGTGCCGGGGTGCCTTAGCACTCCACGTAACACATGTGGGGGGGGGGTGGGGTGGGGGTTAAAACCAGGCCCCACCCGATACGGCCAATTAGTAAGGTTTGTAACGTCAAAACACAACATGTCAATCCGTTGCTAGTTCGGCACTAAACGGTGTGTTGAAGAGTAAACCCACAACGATTTGAGTGCTGTAACGTTTCGCTCAACAAAGTGGTTTATGACGTGGAGAAAAATCCACGCGACCAGGCGTCAGGATCGGGATCAAACCCACGACCTCCTGTATACCAAGCGAGGTAGGTAACATTTCGGCACCGTGTTTGTGAATCGACTAATAGGACGCTGCGGTGGCGAGATGTTAACTACCTTGCTTGGTATGCAGGAGGTCGTGGGTTCGATTATGACCCTTGACACCTGCTGTATATTTGGAGTGTACATCTCTCTCTCTTTGTCTCCCCGTAGTTGCGTGGATTTTTCTCCGGGTCCTCTGGTTTTTCCTTTCACTTTTAGAATCAACGTGCGTTTAGAGCATATGGCTGCTATAAATGTACACATAAGCCACTTCGTTAAGCTATCATTTGTGGCTAGGTCGCTTCTGAAAAAGAGCTAAATTGATTAGTGGGGCATGACCTATTAAATTAAAAATAAATTAACCCGTAAAAACTAAGTTTTTCACTATAAATCCTTTATATGCGTGGCGGCTAGAGTCATCTCGTCCTCTGGCTTGAGATGGCTGCCACCTATGGGTCAGATGATTGCCTGGCACCATTAAGCAATTGGTAATTAAATATTTTTTTTTTCCTAAAAAGTGTAAAAAAAAATTTACAAATTTTTTCACGAAAATAAATTATCACGCACAACGAGTCTGTGTGGAAAATGTCAGCTCGATTGGATCACGGGAAGTGGGTTAAAAAACGACCGAAAGATTTGCACGGTCGTAAGCAAGCACGCAAGCACGCAAGCAAGCGAACTTAATATAAATAATTAAAAAATGATGGTGAATGTTTTAAAACGGGGGAAGTGTTTTTGGCGCCCCCTATCGCGAAGCTTCTGCACAGCAGACACGCGGTGATCTCTAACATCTGCCCCCACACTCTCACACCATCTTGCCCCCTTACATCTGCCACCTTGGATCCCAGGCTCATTGAGCCCACTCCAATTCCTGCAAGTCGGCACTAGGCCCTCCCTCCAGAGTACGACGTTTAAATAATATAGCAAACCACTTTAGCCTGAGCTCCTTGAACGTACATAGCCAACCGCGCTAATTGGAGGTGTCGGGACGGAGGAGAGATAGCCAAATACACGAAATACGCTCTGCTGAAGACCTCGACATTCTTACTTGGCCCATGAACATTTTGCTGCTGCCGCCATGTAGCAGCAACACACGGTTGGCTACGTCTGGTGCGAAAGCAGTTCAACACACAGGCGTACATACGAAGAGAATTATCGTGCAAGCGATTCCAATGACCTGTCTCCCTGAGATATTTGACTCTTAATCTGCTGCGAATTAAGAAAAACAAGAATTAAGAACTCTATGTGTGTGTCTCTCTCTCTGTTTGTCTCTGTGTGAGTCTCTCTTCTCTGCTTGTGTGTCTGTCTGTGTGTCTCTGTGTGATTCTCTCTTCTCTGCTTGTGTCTGTATGTGTGTCTCCGTGTCTATGTTTTGTCTCTCATTCAAATTTAGAAATCTTTGGAAGAACGTAATCAACCAGGTGGGGTGTTGACTGTTTTGTTGGCCGACTCTCTGTGTTGTATTGCATTATATTTCCAATTCTAGATTTGAAGCTTTCGTGACTGCAAGGATTCATATTC